TGTAAACGTATTTGCCATTATGCTGAAACTATACCTTTTGCATTTGAAAGAAATCGGTTCATAAATACGACTTTTATAAATAACTCGACTCCCGCGCCACCTAGCGGGTCTATTTTTGGTAAACGTTTTTGCCATCATGCTGGTAGCTGTACAAAAATACACCTACTTAGTGCTTGCAAAAGTACTAATGCTGATACGATATACATATGTTTCCATACTTTGCTGATACATTTCAATATATGGCACATAAGAGTACAAACAAAACGGTAGCATTTACATATGCAAATCCATATTATGTAAAAGCCCTGTTAGTGCCGAAAATGTTATCGCACAACACGTCCGTTCGATAAAAATTTTGCAAAAGACTGAAAATATTACAAACAATTTCTGATGCTGTATAGTAGTCAAATTTATAGAGAAATGTACTTAAAACAACAACAAGTACGTTCGCTCATATTCGCCAGAATTTGAATTTATTTCTGGAAATTCATGGCCCCTCATGAATTTTTCACACTTTTTCACTCATACAGCTTACATACTTCATGAATGCATGCAACCGATTTCTACTGGGTACTTTTCGACTGTAAATTGTAACGAGCAAGGGTATCGACTTTTTAATTTGCTCATATATTTTCTTAGTATATGCATACATAGATTCCCTTCAAGACCAATGATTTGATGGTACATATTCATGGGAAAGTTTATGTAGGTACATTTACATATTTTACACTTTTAACATAAATGTGTATGCACATATGTGTTTTAAGGCACACTTCTTGACAAACAAATTTTTTTAAGTTATTATCAACGGATAACAGAGACATTTTCTTTGAATTCAGTACTCAACTTTACGACACGCACATATTGACAGGATCTTAAAATTATTTAATTTTAATTATTTACAGTTTATACTATAACACTACGGAGTATTAATCCAAAGTTCAATCTTTGCGCAACATTAAAAAAATCAACAAACTTTCGTAAAAATTTCAAACTTTTTAATTAGATTTCCTAGAAATACACATTTTGAGTATGCAAGTACAAATTTAAAATAGCTCCGACTTATCGTTGATTTTTAATATATATATTTTTTTTTGATGAAGGTGTTGCTCATTTTCTTCATTAAAAAAAAATCATCGAACATACTTCGAAAATATGGAAGCAAATGACTGACATCGTCAAAAAAAAATGCCCCACTTCAACGGTGCATCCCAGCTACTTTAAACTTGCGCTTTATTGTACTAAAATTGAATGAGCTAAACAACTGCAAAATATTAAAAAAAAGGAAACAGAAAGCTCGAAATTTTTACAAAAGTTTGTAGATTTTTTTGAAATTGTACTAAAAAGTACTGCGAAGTAAAAAGTATATACATATGTATGCCAACACTGATGTGGCACAAAGCAGAATGCAAATAATAAGCTCATTCAAATAATTTTCAACCTTTCACTCACAAATGAGTAGAATCCAGCTGGTAGACAGTGTTGCCGTTGTGATCCAAATGGATCAAAATGATACGTTTTTCTTCGAATTTTTAAAAGATACTTTTATTTTTAGTTTAGTATAAATTGTGGTACATTTAAATTGACAAACAAGTTGGCGGTAACTCTTCCCATCTTAAGACTTTTATGATTTTATGGCAACACATTCAGGGGGCTCAACGTTCTATATTAGGCGTGTTTTATTTGACCAGTTACATAAGCTATTAGCTTATTTTGTATGGAAGACTTAGCCAACATAATTATATTGGCTTGTGACAAGCTATCTTGGCTTGTATATTGAACTAGCGGCATTGCCAGTTGATTAATAGTTTTCATTCACGGTAGTTGGATTATTCACACTTTATTGCCAAAAAAAAGTTGTCGTTCACGATATACACCATTTTGACAGATGAAAATGTAAACAAAAAAAAGATAGACAAAAATAGAATATAAAAGAAACGCGTGTAAATTTTGTGCCTTCGACAAAATATGGATTAACCAAACATATACACAACTGGTGTAAGTTGAAAATGCCAAATTTAATTAAAGATGCAGTAAGTATTGTTTTATAATTAAACCAAACCAAGTTTGCATACTTTCCAATTTCTAGTTTTTCTGTAGTTGTTCCAGTATACATTACGCTGATGATGAAGAAATAATAGAAATACTAGCTGATGTAGCTGCTGAATCTAGTTCATCGGGGGACGATTCTGAGGAAGAACAGGTAGAGCATCCAAAATTTGTCGGTTTCATCGACGTTATCGATGAGTATGCAGATGAGGATTTCAAGTCCCATTTTCGCCTGAATCGAAAAACAGTGGATTATTTAATAAGTAAGGGTTTCTTCCGTTTTACAAATTTTTACTGAAACAGTGTTATATTTCTAAAGCGAGGTATAATGAAAACGATCAAAATCACAGCCGTACAATGTCTGGAAAGCCCAAAATACCTGCAAAGACAATGATATATATGTACATATGGTACCTAAGCAACACCATAACCTACAGACAACTTGCTAATTTGTTTGGTGTAACGAAATCCACTACATGGGCAATTGTTCGTCGCGTTGTTGCGTGGATCATTTCAATAGGATACGAGTTTATCAAGTGGCCAACTGGAGAAGCAGTGGAAGATACCACGAGAAAGTTTTTGCAAAGAAAGAAAGTACCTGGTGTCATTGGTGCAATAGACTGCACACATATAACTATTAACGCACCAAAAATAGATAAGCATATATATTTTGATCGAAAACGAAATTACAGCTTAGTTTTACAGGGAATTGTCGATGCCGATATGAAGTTCATTGATATTTATTGCGGCGAGCCTGGGTCCTACCATGACTTCAGAGTACTTAAGAGGTCAGCGTTTTATAGGAAAGCAGAAAATAGTGTTGAAAATTTGTTTCCAAACTCTACATTTATCCTTGGAGATTCGGCATACCCTTGCAAAAATTACTTAATTCCGGTATTCAAAGATTATGGTTCACTAACAGAACAACAAATCAGATTCAACAAAATTCATTCGTCGGCAAGAATTGTTGTAGAAAAGGCGTTCGGCTTACTCAAAGGTCGTTTTCGCAGACTTCTTAAGTTTACAGAGCATAAAGATTTATGCGCTGTAACACATTTGGTGGCGAGCGCATGTATTATGCATAACATATGTATATTAAAAAACGACGACACCTTCATCGTTGAAGCAAATGAAAGTGTGGAATTAGAACCAGTCTCTGTGAGCGAAAGTGACATAAGTGGAGATCGTCGTAATGAGTTATTTATTCAGTTATTAAGAGGAAATGTTTGAGCTTAAGCTTGAGTTGATTCAATTGTATTTTATTACAATCCAAACATGTTTTGTTGAAAAAATAAACAGGGAATTCTATTTGAATAGTAGCCACACTATGGCTGCGTTTCTTTATACATTCCAGATAATCCCATTTCACAGCCGGAATAAACAGAATGCGTTTGAAATATACGTTAACATATCATCAGGAACGTTCTAAAGAATAAGTAAACAAAAAAGTTTATTCCAAACGTTCAGAATGAATAAAGAAATGCAGTCTATATTTAATTTTTTTTTTACTTTTTTGTCTGTTTTAATATTTAAACTTTTTCTTTTCTAATCATCTCCGCAGCATTGTTGTAGGAGTTTTAACTTTTCCTCCTCTATTTTAAGTTTTTTTCCTCCAACTCTAGCTGCAAATCACGCTTCTTCTCTAAATTTTGCAACATACGCTGAATATCTGCATGGAATTTTTCTTTCTCCTCACAGCTTCTTCTCTTCAGCTCAAGTTTATTTTCAAAGTAACGATCCCTGGCCGTTTTTCTAACACGTGTGTTCGCAGCGGGCATACTCGGCTGTAAATTGTGGCTTCGCGTTGGTGTGTTCAGCGATTGCGTGGAGGTACTCAGTTCTTGAAACTGACTTGAGCTGCTCGGTTCAGGGATTGGCGAAACCCTAGTTGAGTCTCTTAACAGCTCGATGGCTAATTTTAAAAGAAAAAAAATTCAGTTACAATTTTATATCACAGTACGAAAAAGTCTTTCAACTTACTACATGTTTCTATTAATGCCTCCTGAGGATCTGTTCCTATGTTAATGGTATGATCATTTACAACCAAACAACTCTCACCAAAAATTTCGTCCATTTCTGTCATATATGGTATAGTGCGAGGAGCAGTTCCTGTTTGCCTTTCATTGTCTTTGGCAGACTTGTAGGCTTTTAAAAGCGTACGCATTTTCGCAAAAAGTGCGTCTGTGGTAACCGTTGTATCCTAAAATACAAATATGTAGGTAATTTAATATTAAATTAAATATGCACAATTCTTACCACAAAACCTTGGAAAATCATATCTTCCAAAACATTTTGATATGCGTATTTTTTTTTTTACGTGCATGAAGAAATTCTTCCTTCCTTTCCCCATAGCATTAAGGAAAAGGAGCGTCTCCGCCCTCGTTCATACTTTTCTCTTGCTATAATTAAACAAAAAAAGTAATAATAATTCATTTATGAAAAATTNAATTTTTTTTTTACTTTTTTGTCTGTTTTAATATTTAAACTTTTTCTTTTCTAATCATCTCCGCAGCATTGTTGTAGGAGTTTTAACTTTTCCTCCTCTATTTTAAGTTTTTTTCCTCCAACTCTAGCTGCAAATCACGCTTCTTCTCTAAATTTTGCAACATACGCTGAATATCTGCATGGAATTTTTCTTTCTCCTCACAGCTTCTTCTCTTCAGCTCAAGTTTATTTTCAAAGTAACGATCCCTGGCCGTTTTTCTAACACGTGTGTTCGCAGCGGGCATACTCGGCTGTAAATTGTGGCTTCGCGTTGGTGTGTTCAGCGATTGCGTGGAGGTACTCAGTTCTTGAAACTGACTTGAGCTGCTCGGTTCAGGGATTGGCGAAACCCTAGTTGAGTCTCTTAACAGCTCGATGGCTAATTTTAAAAGAAAAAAAATTCAGTTACAATTTTATATCACAGTACGAAAAAGTCTTTCAACTTACTACATGTTTCTATTAATGCCTCCTGAGGATCTGTTCCTATGTTAATGGTATGATCATTTACAACCAAACAACTCTCACCAAAAATTTCGTCCATTTCTGTCATATATGGTATAGTGCGAGGAGCAGTTCCTGTTTGCCTTTCATTGTCTTTGGCAGACTTGTAGGCTTTTAAAAGCGTACGCATTTTCGCAAAAAGTGCGTCTGTGGTAACCGTTGTATCCTAAAATACAAATATGTAGGTAATTTAATATTAAATTAAATATGCACAATTCTTACCACAAAACCTTGGAAAATCATATCTTCCAAAACATTTTGATATGCGTATTTTTTTTTATACGTGCATGAAGAAATTCTTCCTTCCTTTCCCCATAGCATTAAGGAAAAGGAGCGTCTCCGCCCTCGTTCATACTTTTCTCTTGCTATAATTAAACAAAAAAAGTAATAATAATTCATTTATGAAAAATTATGAAAATAACCTTTTTCCCGTGTCAGTCATCGTTAAAGATTTTTCTAAATTGACAACTCATTAGAGATGTGTAACACAGCACAGTGCTGTGCTACTGTGCTGACACTCGTCAATGTGACGCACGCACAGGCGCACTTTTCGATTAAATTATATCACAGTAGCACACTTGGCACAATATGAAAGTACATCCTGGGCAGTGTTTTTAGCACACTAGGCCATGATTCAACAACTACAGGTTGTATCAATCGTACAAAAACAACATTTACCGTTGGTATGAACTCGTTGTGTCACCTACAGCTTCTTTATGTATTCATATTCGTATGTATATGTATACTCTGCATACCAGGATTTCAGAGTATTCAGAATGGTTTCAGATTTTTTTTTAAAGAATTTTCTTACAGAAATTTTTTTACCAGTTCTTGTCAACCGCTTCATATGTTTTTCTTTAAAGATTCCTAAAAGAATCTAAAAGATCTAAACCTTTTCTACTTGATATAAATTTCATTCTACATATATTTTTTAGCAACTTAAGTAAAGTTCGGCATCCGCCAGTTTCTACAGCCATACATAAAAAGAAATAATGAAGTTACTTTATTGACGCATTGCTATGAAAGAGTTACTGTTTAACAGTGAGATTTGGCTAACTTTCAATTTTTTACTGAAACCGGTGGTGAACACTCAAAAAACGGCCCTAAGAGGGGCATAACATGAAAGAAAAAAACGGAATCGATTTGAAATCAAGCGGAGTAGAGGAGTAGATTTCAAATTTTTTCAAAAATCGCAGTAAATCTAATCTCTTCTTAGTGAACTCCAAACACTAGTAGGGGACACATTTTTTCAATTTTAACGCTAATGACCGACAGATGGGGGGAAAACACAGGGTTGTATCAGACTTTCGACGTGGTTTCGAGTTGGTTAGCTTTTAACCATCTCAGTGAAATGGTTAAGTGCTGTCATTTATATATGGCGAAACTACGCTAAATCAAGTGGGTTATCGGGATAACCAACTCAACAGTCATAACTACGTGGTTAGCTCCAGTGGGGACAAGGTATTAAAGATTTCGGGAACATTTGTTTGCAGGGTATATATTTACGTGTATGTGTATGTATACGCGGTTATGTAAACAAAGCAAAACAGGCGATCATTTGACACAACCGTGCTCGTTTTTGAAAAATGCACTAGGCCTGGGTAGCGGCGCAAATTTTTTGGTGCTGACACACTAATTCCAGCACCACTGCCGAAATCAGCACAGTGTGTTGGCGCAATTGCGCCTCTTCAGGCTAAAGCTCATTTCCTTTATTGCCAAGGTGAATTAATACAAGGTGGTATCGGTTGAGCAAAAACAACTCAAGTATACCTAAGTTCAAAACCCAAAAATACAACAAACACATAGTTTTCATATTCAGAAGGACCGCGGCTAATTCTAGCAAAACCACCTTGTAAAAATTCACCTTGTGCTGCACATTTTACAAGTGACACTTCTCCTTTGTGTGTTCTTTGCTGGTTCTTGGCGACGCCCGGTATTGTCTGTGTTCTGGTGTTGCTGGCGCCATTGGGTTACTGAGTTGTGAAAATCAGTATTAGCGCCAATAACTCAGCTCTCGGTATCAGCGCAATGGCTATAGCACACTGTGCTGTGTGGATTGTTCTCGCCGCCAATAATCGCAAAACACAAGGAAAAAGCAAATTCGAGCGATAAGTCATGGAGCAAGGCGGATGTATACATAATGGGCCGAATGCATAAAAACTAAGCAATTTCTTTTTCTTAAAATTTCATACGCTTGACTTAAATTTATTTAAACAAATCCAGTAAAAGGTGTGAAATTTTAAGAAAAAGCATTTGCTTAGTTTTTATGCATATAGCCTAATGTATAAATTCGCCTTGTCATGGAGTTTCTTGATCGATTTTGAATAGGTAGCAATAACACAATTGTGCCAACACAGTGTGTTAACACTTCATTGTGTGCATGTGCTACTGTGTCAACACACAAAAAATTGTGCCATTACCCACCTCTACAACTCATACAGTATTGCCAGCACACACATATCAGGTGTTGCCAGCATAATTTATAACTAAGTCATGACAAATTAAGCTAGATTCGTTTTATTTGACCCAGATTAAGCTATTAGCTTACCGCGCTCAAATAAAACACGCCTATTATTTTATTTTAACTCAAATGAAATATCAAATTTTCTTTTTTCGATGCCGCTAACAACTTTAAAATATTCGTCGTTTACTTAACGAGTAATCGAGTAGTTAACGACAACAGCTGATCAAGCGATAGCGAATATCGTTAAAATATGTTTAGAGAATTGTCAAATCGTTAGAATCATCGTTAAGTTTTCTTAGCGATTCGATAACCGTTAAAATAGAATGGCGAATCCCACTACTGGTTAACTCGTGCCGTTTTGCGCGTTGACACTCCCTTAATATAATTATTCACTTTTTAATAATAAACACACAAAATCGTGTAAAGAAAAAACGAATAAGGACCGCGACGACCAAATGCTTCCATTTTAAAAATGTTTGAATGTTTTTCGATCGTAAAATTCAAATTCAAAAACTAAAAACATTTGCTGTCAGAGCATTCATTGTAGCAAACACTTGCGCTACTTGCGTTGCTGTCAAAGTGAAACAACGCCAAAGCGACGCGAAAGCTGTATGTGACAGAGCCTTAATAGTTTCTGTTTCAAAACGTTTCCAATATCAAACAGTATGTTATCAAGGTTGAATAGCTCAATATATGGCAACAACAGAAATGTAAATCATTCAGAAACTATAGGTGATTTTGAAGAAATTGTGGAAATTGCCGATCTCGCTTTATTATAGAGTTTTATTTAATTTTTAGCGCCGAGCTCTTAAAAGCGGATTGGCGATAAACGATCAATATGAGTTATAATAAATTTAATAATTGCGCAGTCCTATTGCATAATGTGTTGAAACAAGTATTTCTAAAAAGTATGCGTATTTTTAAAGAAAATTGTTTGTACATAACTATTATATAAGTGATTTGTGTTATTTATTATTACCCTCTGAAGGTATTATATTCGTTTTTGGTTCTAAAAACTATATTATAACAAGATCTCAATTTTAAAATAAAAGATATATTAATATTTCATGAATTTTATTTTAAAAAAGTTGGCGATTTTTTCAGAAATTGCGCTTTTTTTAAAACAATCTGGACACCCTGGTGTACACCCTCTACGCAGAAATATTGTGGATGGCATAGTCGGATGAGCATTGAAAAGTTTATGAAAATAAAACGGTATATTAACTTTTACAAACGCTTCACTATGTAGTTTTTCACAAAGCAAATTTTGATCTTTGACCTTCGATATCTCGCTTATTTTTAATTTTCGCAAGTAAGTTTAAGAATCGGTAAAATCAGTACAAAAAGCTGTATCGATTCTTATTTTTAGTTTTTTTCTATCGAAATGGTGCTTATTCTTTACTTGTTCCCTAGTTCTAATAGCTTACTATGATCGAGGTTGGAAAAAGTCCACCTAAATAATTATTATGCATATACTTAATACAGCCTAATTAACAAAATCTGTCCAGCATGCAAAAAATCGTCAAGTTTATTAATTAAGTTGTCGTTTTCGTTCGCATTTTATAAAATAACTTTCAATTACAAGAATGGCAGAAAACAAGATAGCCACGAAAAGGAAAGATGAAGGATAGAACCAAGCAGAATTTAATAAGGTGGTGTTAGCCGTATATAACTAAAAAATTACACTACCAAATTATACGTGATATTCATACTGTCATTGGTATGAATTACAACAAACACATCATTTTGACTTACTGTCCTCCACGGCGAAAAATTCAGATTAGCACCACCTTATTAAATTAGTCTTGGAGAGAACCATGAACCAATTAGAACAGATCTGACCGGTTGAGAAGCAGCCATTTGTAATAGCAATTGAGAAAAAAGTGTGTGACGTTCGTAATTTTGAAGCTTGCTATTTCTGTTTTGCTTCTTTCTTTATGTGTATTTTGTCGGTGGTTTATTTCAGTGATTTTTAAGCGATTTTCAATAATTTTTTTGTGCAAATGTAATTAAAATGAAGTGCGCGTTGATTGGGTGCAAAAACACGTCCAAAATAATAAATTAATTAGCACAAACATGTGCTGCAAAATTGGTTGCATTTTTTGCTTTATGCTTCGTCTTCATATTCTTTGTTTACTTTTACATAATTACAAACGTCAGCCAGAAAATTACTTTTTTCTTTTGCTTCATCTTGTCAGATCTTGTGTAGTTGGATCATGGGAGAGAACAATAGCGTCGGTCGCAATTTGTAGCAAGGGATGCCAACTCATTTTATTGCTTTCGTGAAATCGGCTGTAAACTAGTAGAAATTAGTGACGCGAATTCGTACCAAGTCACCTGTGCATTTTTTACGGTAAAAAAAGATTACTAGAAAAACTAGTGTCAATTATTAGTAACTGTCCATACGAAACAACCTTAGCGCGGACATTTGTATGAAGACGTCACACAAACAGCTGATTCGCCAAGAACAAAGTAGCGGTACTGCTCACCGCGCCACCTTTGCCTCTCAACATCGTGTTTCAGTTATTTATGTTCTTGTTCATTAGTATTTCCAAGTTTTTTTTTTTATTTAAAAAAGCACTAGAACTTATTTCCCAAAAAGGTACCAAAGTTTGATTATTTTCGTTTTTACAAAACTGTACATGGATCAAACATTTTTGGTAGTCAAATAATTCTGAAAATCGGAGGACTCTTATTTCATTTTTAATTTGCTCATTATTTTCTTTCGATTTGTGATCTCTAAAAAGCACTAAATTTAGCGTGAAAAGTAAAAATTTGGCAACAGTGATTCCAAATGAGTCAGTGTTGCCGTTATGCGTAAAAGGTAGCAAAATGTACAAAATGGAGTATTGAAAATAAAGTTAGGTATAGTTCTTTCACCCTTAAGTCATATAAAGAGTATGTCAAAATACCATTTATTATAATATAATGTAATATAATATAAGACAATATAATATAATATTGTATAAAATAATATAATATAATATTATATCATCAGAATAAGGTCCTAAAAACGAAAAAAATCAAATAAGTAAATTATATCATATCTCATAATATAATATATTATCGAGTCCTTTGCGCAAAATTATCGTATTTTTCTAAAATCAAATTTTACAGGAAATTGTTTTTGTATTTTTCATCAATAGTTTAGATTTGTTTTCACACTCTAATTTCTTAGCACATACGATAATGTCGCCCACAAGAAAAAATTCCTTGTCACATACGATAAAATTTACAGCGAATTTTTTGAGTATCTATTGGGATTTAAGCCGTAGTATTTGAACAAGTGATGCGTTATAGGGTGTGGAGCAAAAGTGCATCAAAAAATGATTTTCGTAAAAATTGTAACATACGATACATTTGGGCAAAGGGGTCGATGTAATGAAATAAATAATAATGCATAGCTCAGTGGTTAGCGCTTCTGACTTAGCACATCGATTACGCGGGTTCGAGCCCTGCTGAAGTCTAGGAACTCTCCGGAGGATCTCCGAAATACCTGCTATAACTTCTACCGCTTAGACTTTGCTGCTTTTTCAATTTTTCCCAAATACATAAAATACTGGTGCAAAGCTCAATAAAAATATTAAAATAAAAATATTGTATAATATTTTATATAAGTTATAAATAAGTAAAAGGTTAATATTTCACGTACTAAAATAATAAAGCATTTTTAACACGAAAAAGTGCCAACTAAATACATACTCTAACTTAGGAGAAAGAAGCGTAAAGTGAAAACAACAAAATCGAAGTGTGCCTTTGGAAAATAACGGGAAGCGTCTGCAGCGTGCGTCGATTAGAGGTGGAGAAACATCGATGCTACCACCGATTTTTTCGATGTTTTGAAACAAAACATCAATGGAACAACGATTGTTTTAAAAAACCCTAGGGCGGTCAAGGCGAATTTATATAAGGTGGTATCGATTCAACAAATATAACAATTACTTGTATTTTGTTTTTGCTTTTAGCGGGCCATTTTCAAATTTCAGATACTCTTCCCCGATTGAAAAAGGGCGACAGAAAATACAGACACTCTCGCGATTTCAATTACTCACTAGCAAAATGCGAAATTTTGACAATCAAACGCTACTCACAGCTGATGAAACAACACCACCTTATATTAATTCGCCTTGAGGGCGGTAAAAGTCGAAATTAAGTTGATAATTAAAGTTAGTTGTGAAATGAAATAAATCAAACAGATTTTTCGTAGAGCTATTTCCTTTCGTGTAAGTAATATACATTCCATATATGAGCCATATTGGACGAAAAATACGGGTTTTTCAGATATATCGACACCTGCGCCACCTAGCGGAAGTTCCTTAAAAATTTATTGCAACACTCCAGACATACATATGTATATGTAAGTAAAGCTAAATAAAAGCTTATAAAAACGTAAAATTGTAATTCGTTGGGGTTAACATAAACCTATTAAGAAAATAGATCGAATGTTTTTCATTAAGTCTTCGAAAGGATTTTGATTTTTGCTTGAAAACGTTATCAACGAGGAATTAATATAATTTTATAGGTTCATACATTTTGCGTGATCTCCTTTAACTCGTCGTTCTTTACATTCACAGAAGTGTACAAAGGAAACATCGATAGTAGCCATCAACCATCGATGTTCAACAAAAACGCAAAAACATCGATGCATCGATAGTGCAATCGATTTTTTCTCCACCTCTAGCGTCGATTTATGCTCGTTTTGATCAAAACAGAACCCTGCCAGCCACGGCTCACTACTTTCCCCTAAAATTCAAACGATTTACAAACACATTCACAACTTTTTAGTCATCTCACCCACACACTTACAAATTTTTTCGTCGAACTGTCAAAAAATGTGCCTTTGTTAGAGCTACATACCCGATAAGAATTCGTACTCTAACAAGAATTCTATGCGTTAGAGCGAGCAAGTTAGAAACATCAGAGTTTTGATGACAGTATACATACTGTGAAGAAATGTCACTACGAAAACTTTGAAGGTAAGAATACGTATTTAACAATTTTATTTAATTATAATGTAATTTCTTCTTTTAGATTGCAAAACAGCAGCGACTTAGTCACATTCTTAAGGTATGTATTGAGACTTTTTATATGTTTATAAATTTTAATTGATATTTTTGCTTCTTTACAGATTCACTATCAGCACCTTCAACGCTTGCATCTTCATCGCCAGGAGCACCATTAGAACCTTCTGCCCTCAGCTTCTTCATCGCCAGGAGCACCACCAGTACCCTCTACCCTCAGCTCCTTCATCGCCAGGAGCACCATGAGTACCTTCCGCCCTCAGCACTTTCAACGCCAGGAGCACCTTCAAAGTGTAGGTCCAACTTGTCAAATTTTGCAAAGTTGTAACAAAACAGATTTTTTGTGAACTAGTGTAAATGATTTGCAACTGTTAATATATATCAAAAGAAAGGTAAATCGATTACCTTTCTTTTGATTATACTTTTGTTAAAATCGCTTAACTTTTTTATAGAAATTTTGTAACTTTTGAAATCATCTATATGTAAGCAGTGAAAAAGTCGTAAAATTTTGCAAAGTTGTGATAAAACTGAATTTTTGTGGACCACTATAAATTATTTGCAACTGTTAATATATATCAAAAGAAAGGTAAATTGATTACCTTTCTTTTGATTATTATATTGTTAAAATCGCTTAACTTTTTTATAGAAATTTTTCAACTTATCAAATCATCTATGTGCAAATAAGTAATACTAATAATAAGAAATTAAGCAACCACATATGTATGTAAAAATATATTTATTAATGTTAATTACAATTTTTATTCATAATATTGATTATTAGCTATGTATATTAGGTAATCAATGCATTTTGAAAATAAATTTTGCAAAATAAAAATCAAAAATTTTTTGGATTTTTTATTTAAAGTTTCTAAGGTTATTTTGAATTCGCTGTGAAGAAAATGCAACCCTGCGCCGGCTGAAAGGGGCAATGCTAAACGAGTGCAGCTATATGTTTTCCTTAGGAAGTATCTGAATGAGTGCGACAGTGATGCAAGGCTCACACGTACAGGGG